TTCTTGCTAGATAAAACTACTGCTTTTGTGTGGGTAACTTAATTCTTGCAACTTAGTATCTTCAGAGACTAGACAGTAGTACAATTCATAATAAATTTACCTAACTTCTATTTGCAAGCCTTTCCTCACTATTTTTTTTTCTTTGCTTTATGACCTAGGTACATACTCAAATTTATATAATCACCCAACACTTATTAAGGAGCCATCAAAGGTAAAATCATTAAGTTTACTCGGAATAACAACCTGGCTTGGGAAAATTTGAGACAAAAGTGATTGTTTTCTCAATGGAGATCTCTTTAAAAGAAGGAGGGAGCAGAAAAGAGGCTTGGGGAGGGTGTCAGCCTCTGGTATTACTTCTTCACTGAAGAAGGGTTTGGATATATTTTTTTCTATTAGAAGGAAAATTGAGAAAGTTCAAAATTTCTGTAATAGCTGGGCAGAAATGTAGAGAGCAAGGAACTTACTTTCTTGTTATCGGTGATATACCTTTGTGTAATCTGTGTCTCACAGCCATAGATCAGGGTTTTTTTTCTTGAAAATAGGCTTGTATTTCCCTTCTACAGTTTGAAACAGTTTATTCTAGTTCTTTGGCCTTCCAGCTGTTCTCCATCATCAAAGCACAGCTTGATGTTCCAGATGTGTGAGATTTTGAAAGGAAACCTTTTTCTTGAAACCTTACAGGGGAATATTAAGGGCCTACTTAAGTTTTTTTTTCAGTAATGTTTAAATAAAAGGGAGAAACTTGTTCTGGGAGGCCAGATTTTGCTAAGAGGTTTGTTTGATTTCTTACTTTGGGATGAATGTGCATTTTTCTGAGGGAAGAAAATAGTATGAGGAAATTTAAGTATATTATTGTTAAATCTGAATCTGACGATTTTATACTGATTAGGCAGTGTGATGTGCGCTTCTTGGAGAGAAAGATAGGGACCATTAATGCATACGTGCTTTCTGTTTTAGCCCAAACCAATAAAAATTTCCCAGAAGACTGGAATTCCCCTACATGTCTTGCCTCAGAAAGGTCTTACTGCAAAGCAGATTGAACGCATGCAAATGATTAATGGCAGCGACCTGCCAAGAGCATCGACACAGCCCCGATCCAAAGACGAGAGCAAAGAGGATCGCAAAGCTAGAAAACAGGCAATAAAAGAGGAGCGAAAGGTACGCCTTATTTTACATAAAGCCCTGCAAAACCATGTTCTATTATTTTAGTTCTGTCTTACAAACTTTTTTTTAAAGCTCATTTGTTCTTGTGCCTGGAAATTAATGGGAAAAAGTTGGTCTCAGAAGTCTCATTATTTCTGCTTCTAAAAAAAAAAAAAATCTACTGGGAAGAAAGTTAACCTCATGATTTTGTCATCCTAATTTCCTGTATAGAAATTTTGGTCTGTTATTGTGGCCACTATTACATATATAACTTCAGAAGGAGCCCTCATATTTCCTTATTATCTAGGGAAGCAAAGAAAACAGTTACGATGTTTCAGATCACACAAAGTGAAAAGTCTCTCAAAGAAACGTGGACAATCTAATTGGCCACAATGATATACTAGTTGTTTTATTTAGGAACAGAAATTGCCAGCATATCACAAGCTTCAGCTAATTAAAGATGATAATCCTGGTGGTATGCATATTAATTTGACTACTAATAATTAGTGCCATAAATAGTAATATTGTCCAGATTGCTGCTGTTTTCATGATCTAGAACTGTTAATTTGAATGGTTTCTTTTTGCATGTTCTGCCTATTTTGTAAATTTGTAATTACTTGTATGCACAGGAACGCAGAATGGAGAAGAAAGCCAACAAGCTAGCCTTCAAATTGGAGAAAACAAGGCAAGAAAAAGAGTTGCTCAATCTGAAACAAAACATTCAAGGACTGAAGCTGTCTTGACAAAATCGAGGAACTGTTGTGGAAGCATCCTTAAGTCTTCACTTCTATTGAGGGGGGGAACTGCTAACTCACAGCTTTGCCCATGCTGCTGGAAGAGGGCTATTCAGACATTACTGTAACAAGAACCAGTAACTTGTCATTCTTTCGGAAATTAGGTTATACATTGTTTTATGTATTAGTGATGTCCCTTCTGCCATGAGCGACATGGCAACTGTTGCAAAGGTTTGTTACAGTAGAAATTATTAAAAATCTAAAAATAATATTTTTCTTACAAGCTATCACTGGACATAGTTTGATATATGTACTTGTTGAATGTATTCAACAGATCAGCAGAATCCTACAGATTTGATCTGACTAGATTCTTCTATTAAATTATTTCAGTTTACAAAGCAATATATCCATGTATGCCTTCTCTCCCTTATACTGATGGTTAAATATAGTGCCTTGATATGGCACGGTTTCCTAAGTCAAGGAGTTTTCACCCACTCCTTAGTTCTTTTTCTGGGTTGGCTATTTATTGCTTGGGCACTATTATGAAAGATGTGAAGTAACCTTTTGTAAACAGAGGTGTCTGAAAACCTGTTGTGTGGCTAGACGTCCCTGTTACCTAACCTGAGTGTTACGTTTCTTAGCAAATAAAATCTGTCGCAACAGGCCTTGCAGTTGCAGCAGTCGGTGACCGTTACTGTTGCCGTTGAAATCTGCTTTGCTGAAGGTACTTGGTCTGAGTAGTATGGCAAACAAAACAGCAGATACTTGGAAAAATATTGTATGTTGCAGATAGCCATTGTCTTGATTTTCCTGAAGTATTATTCTTCAGGTCTTGCATTCAGTTTGGTTTCATTGAAACACAAACCTATGACCCGCTGCAATTGTCGCAAAGGCTTTCTGAAGACGAGCAGAGGGATGGTATCTTTAGGCTTGGCGTGAGCTTAACTTTCTGTACTGTGCGTGTGAATGAAATGAACAGGGTTTGTAGTCAATCCTTCTGTATTCCTAAGAAACTCTTAGCTTTAGATCTTTAGGACTATAGACTGAGCAGTCTTCTGCCTTTGGGTGAAAAGTTAACCGTTTTAAAAACTGGTAAAAGTAAACAGTAAAAACTGGTAAGGAACACAGTAACCAACACCTCAGTAGAGTGGCTTGACTGCTGCTAAATTCAAAGCATCTTAAATATTCCTTAAATAGTTTTGTGTATGCTAGGTGGAGACGAGCTAACAGAAGGACTGGTGAGGCCTTTTAATGTACAGCAACAATTCAAACTACTTGTTTTTATTGGAAGAAGGCTTTTATAATATATTTTAATTGATAAAGTAGCATAGTTTGGGGAGAAGGGAATAAATAGGCATTTAAGTCTACAAGTCTCTTGATCACTGCTCAGAAAACTGAAGTGTCAATACAGTATTCACATCTAGATTAAGCCTTCATTTTTCTAAAGTTGTTCAAGAGTCTGTCTTAGCCAAATCAGTAGAAATCACCTGTAAGATTAGAACAAGTCTCGGGGTTTTCATTTAGCCGATATCTGTACTAGTTTCCATATGTTTCACGGGCTTAGGCAGGGTCTGCCTATGTCATAATTGTTAATTATGTAATTGCCGATGCATGGTAACTTAAAGCGTGAGCTTTTGAGTAATGAAGCCAGACTGCCTAGTCCTGATGACTCCTGACAAGAACACAGAAGAGGAAATTTGAGAAACCATTGTGTTGGGATGAGTCAGACACCAGGAAACGAGTTCAGTGGAACAAGTGAGTAACGGATGCTCTCCAGTGGTTTGGGTGGAATGCGATTTTGTGGTTTACTGAAAAGGAAAATCTTTGACTAAAGGCAGTGCACGCATTCTTTACTAGTCCTTGACTTGTCTGCTGTTGTACGTGTCTGAAGTAACTGATCTTCTTGTCCTTTTTCCTGACTTCTTGTTGCTGAGTCAGTGATACTGTGTACGAAGATTCTGACTGAACACGAGAGGAAAATTTTTCACTATGAGAAGAGTCAACCGTTGGAATGATCTCCTCAGGGGAGTGGTTGACTCCGCCACACTGGACACTTTCAAGATGCAGCTGGACAGGGCCATCTTGTTTAGATGCTCTTGCTTGGAAAGGTTGGACCAGATGATCCTTGAGGTCCCTTCCTACCTGGTATTCTATGATTCTATGGAGAAAAAAAAAAAAAGCTGTATCAGTCAAAACCTTGAGGGGATGAGAACAGAATAAAGGAGATGGGGAAGGCAGAGGAAGACGCTTGAAAGGAAGACTAAGCACAGACATGCAGAAAGATGTAGCTTGGGAGCAAAAGTGGAAAGACATTTAAACAGAGATGGTAGGATTAGGAGTCAAAAACGTTATAGAGAGTTGCTTTGTTCCTCTACACTTGTAATCAATGAAACACTGTGTCTTAGAGTTTGGTAAAATCTGAATGAAAAGGTAAAAACCAAAAGCAGTCACACATTGCTTCTGCTCAGCCAGACAAGGATTTCTTTTGTTTTAGCAAGGGCAGGTAAGGAACACTCAAATGAGAAGCCTCTCCCTCTGTAGGTTACAAGTCTCATGAAAAGGGCTCTTTGTTATTGTTCAAGTTCTCCTAAAAGCTGTTTTTGTTTAACACAAGTAACATCCCTGCTCTGAAACAAGAGTATGTGACTGCCATGGGAGTCAGAAAGGCTTAAAGCTATTTTCCATTTAACTTAAAAACCTATTTAAAAAAAAAAAACAAACCTGATTTAAAAACAAGAAAATCCACACAAATTTGACATCTACAGCGTAAGATCACCTTGGGATGCTGTTTGGCACGCCATGGAAACATTCTGCCTTAAGAGTAAAAATTGTGTCACACTTGCGTGCCGCCTGCTACTTTCTGGCATAGCAACGGGTGACCCCGAGCTAGCTCCTGATGGCCCACGGACGGAGTGGGACAAGTCTGGGTGCAGATCGCCTGCGCTTGCTCTCCAGCCCTGGTCCCTGAACTTTGGCAGCAGTGACTCTGGGTAGTCTTCCATCATCTCCTCACCAAATATGGTGTCGTGAAAGGACGTACCTGAGCAGTCATGTGGAAAATAAAAAGCTCTCTGGCATAGCAAAGGAGAGCTCATGCTTCACAGGGGTGAGATAAATACGGTAGCTCTGCAAAAGGGAGCCCTGGCACGTGCCCATAGACGTCCCTGTCTGACAACGAAGTGCAGTTTCAGCAAGGGCTCAGCCCAAAAAGCTGCCCCTGCTGTAATCCAGCCATCCTCTACTGCCTAACTGAGACTCTTGCGTGGTTTGAATTTTACACAGCTGCACGAAGTCAAAGTCTGGCTCCTTGTACAACCTGTGGAAGACGTTTTGCACAAGATGTTCTGGTAAAACTTTTTTTTTTTTTTTTAATGGGAATGTCAGTGCATTTAGCTGAAAGGGGTGGTGAGCAGTGGGGAAGAAGGAGGTGCCAGCTAGTAGAGAAATGGGTTTTAACACGTATTTAAAAGAATAAATGATCTTAATAACTGCTTTCATTTTGGACTGGATTAGACAATTAATGTTCATGGAACTATTGTGAGTTTACCTGCTTGTCCAAAACCAGATGTTTACGATATATCACATTTAAAATAATGTATTAGCTCTTGGTGAGACATAAATTACTAACCTGAAGCTTCCTTTGTGTCCCAGGTTTCTAGGCAGAACTTGTTATTTCAGGCTTCCTGGGAAAAATAGACTAATAAACCATCTGATAAGTAGTCCCTTTGACAGCGTAATGTGGGCACCAGGCTCTATTCCAAAGCCTGCTGAAGTGAATGAAAAGATTCCCCCTGGCCTCCCTGATCCCTGGATTACGAACTAAAGGGGTGGCTGCACAGTTTGCCTAGCACAACCCACCTGCAGGGTTTGTCTGCAAGGGAGGGGGGGTTCTGCATGCACCCCTCCCCTCCTCAGTTTGCATTACTGATCCCGTGGCTCTGTGGTAAATCAGGTCAGCCCCACGGTAGAACTAAAAACTGGTTTAGAAAGAAAAAAAAATAAAGAGGGACAAGAAAAATATGCTGAAAGCTGAGTAACTGTGAGCACTGATATGCAGGTGGAACCAACCTGCGTTGGTAGTTCCACGTTTGGTCTCTCAGATCAGATACATGAAGAACACGATGGTTTAATCTAGCAAAATTGTTTGAAAAGATAGTTATCTGTGTTTTGGGGGAGGCAGGAATTTTCTTGTCGCTATGACTAGCGTGAGATACAAGTTCCTGCCTGTCTATGCCCCTGTGACGCAGGACCAGTGTGCTCCTCGGTGAGCAAGGCCCTCTGGGTCCTGCAGAGGAATCCTCCTCTCAGGTTTGCTGTCAAAAATGTCTAGAAACAGAAGATAAGGACCTGAAGCACATGTGTAGAAAGGTTCAAAGAGAAAAGAGAACGTAGAAGTGTGTGTTGGGGTAGCATGAGGTGCTGCTTGGCCCAGCTGAGCTGTAACCCAAGTGCCTTGCTCAAGCAGCTGCTTAACTCATATGGGAAGAGAGTGGATGGCATAGAGAGATTAATGAGAAGATCAGGAAGAACAACTGAGAACAGGAAAGAGGGAGTAAGCAAAGTAAGGTAGGAATGGAGTCCTTAATTTACCAGCTCAAATGGATGGGCTCAAATAGGCGTGATCTCCAGCACTTGAGCGAGGAGGTAGCTCAGCCCTCGCTTTCACAGCGTTCCTCACAAAGGGGACCAGCCATCCTGCTGCAGAAGAGTGAGGTCAGTGCTAAAATCTGAGACACTTCCAAATCTTAAAACCTCCTTTGGTGTAAGGTGTGACTTTTCCACAAATTCCGCACTGGATATCTACCTACCTACCTAAAATTTCCCCCTGCTTTGAGCTGCAGGCATTACCCCCAGTTTTCCTCCTGGGTTGTCAGGTTTCATGCACTGGTAAACTGCTGCTCCCTTTCAGCCTGGGGCTGGCGCTGATGGGATGGACAGTGCTGCTGTTTATCAGGGGAGCCTCCAGCCTGTGATGCTTATCTAAACTCAAAGAACTGATAGTGTAAATATCAGCCCCTTGAACAGCCCCCATCTGTTCTCCTTCTTAACCGAGAAAGAAAGAAAACCAAGTGGGACAGGGCGGGGGGAGAGTCCAACAGGACTGTTCCTGTTCACAGGCCCACTCTTATTCTCTGCAAGTTGTTCTTCGTGCTGGCCTCCAGCACATCCCTGAGCAGAACAAACTGGAAATGGCTTCTCTTTCTTACTTGTGTCAAACTGCAGCTGTACTTGGACAGCTCTTTAAAGTCTTGCTGAACTCCTTCAGGAGTTACACTGAACCCAAAACAAATACTGCTTCAGCTCCCTGCTCCTGAACAGAAGTAATTTAAAAGCCTGCATAAGGAAGCATCATTAACAAAGCATGACTTCAACCCACAAGCCTCTCTTTTGCTTTGCATCCCAGCTGAGACATGTTCCAATATGCAAGAAAGTCTTCAACAAGAAGCGCAAGCCCTTCAACTCTTTGAAACAGAGACTGCAGGGAACAGAAATCACCACTGTGAGGAAGCAGCCCCCGCAAAAGGTATAGTTGAAATTGAAGCACGTGTGTTATCTCCGTATGAAGTCTTTCATTCAGTAAGTAACGCTATTGTTTCCTTCGGGGACGAAGCCTGGATGTCGTGGATGAGTCTCACGTATGTGCTTGGCTTGGTGCCAAATGCTTTCCTCCCCCCCCCTCCTTGGGCTGCTAGTGTTTGAGAGTATTTTTCCTTTCGGAAGCCAAACCGGTGGGTGTCATGACTACTCTAGGCACGTAAGCGTCTCTGCTCTTCTAGAAATGTTCATGTATGTATCTTCAAAACCGTGCAAGTCTCTGACAGCTGCCTCTTCACTTAGATCTGAAAGAGCGTGATCCAAGATGGTTGGTGCCTAAGTGCCCCAGGTTGAACCTGAGAGCTGTCAGTGGCCCCAGATCCTCCACAGATGAAGCTATGGAGATTCACTGCTATTGAACTCAAGGGGTTAAAAATGTATTTAAATTGAACTTCTTTATAGAGCTGGAGGGGAAGAGGCTTAAGCTCTTACTGGAAGAAAATTTTTTTCATGCATTGATGGGGAAGAGGGGAATGCACATGGACACGCATGTGTATATAATTTTACCCAGAGATGCCAAATCACTGCTGACTTGGTATCCTTGTAGACTGCTGTTGTGAAATGTCCTTTAAAATCAGTTGTGGAAAGAAACAGAAGTGTACGAAGGTTTAAAGCAAGAAGAAGCATCTGACAAGTGGAGAAGAAGGGAAGGCACTTGTCATAGTGTCTTTTCTATTCCCTCTTAAGTGCCCTTTGGTCTACCAGGACCAGAGGGTTTTATTGGAGGGCGTTGTTCCTTTGTTCATCTTCTGGTGCTGCCAATAGATGGCAAAGGGCTAAATCAGCTTTCCTATGCCTTTCAAGAAAAGCAAATTTCTTTTGCTTGTAACATTTTTCCTTTCCCTCAGAAAGGAAGAACCCTCACTCTAAGATTTTTCTCTGTCCGTTGCAAGGGGGAAATACAGTTTTTGTCTTCCTTTATTTCCATTACAGAAAAAGCCAGGGAAGAAATCTAACTGGAGGCAGCACCATGAGGATTTTATTAATGCTATCCGATCAGCCAAGCAAGTCACAAAAGCACTGAAGGAGGGTCACCCTCTGCCGCCTCCTCCCCCACCAAGCATCAATCCAGGTTTGTGGTCTACTTTATCTTAGTACTGATCTCGTACTGATCTTTGGTAAAGCAATGACCTCTCATTATCCACAGCTGGGCTTCAGTTTTGCACCCCCCAGCACAACACAACATGAACATTAATTCCCTCCATACTCTCTGATTTTCAGCTGGCTTTCTTGGCTTAAACTGAGTAGGAGTGCAATGCGGAGGTGGTGGGGAGGAAGAGAAAACAAACTGTACCTTTTAGGTTTAAAGGCAGCAAGACTGGGGTCTGATAATAGGCAGTGCTTTGGGAGGAGAGCCTGTGTTCTAGCACAGGCTGCAACAGAGGGTGAATGTGACTGCTTCCCCGCTCCCATGTGGTGGCTTTTCCACCGTCCCCTTCTCCTGTGTGGTTAGGGTAAGCCAGTCAGAAAAAGACGGGTCTGGTTTACTACTAATACCAGGTGTGGTCTCTGCACAGAAATCTCTGTGTTAGAAGTTATGGGTCCAAAAAGATGCATATACAGCCTGTATTTCTCATGATATGTGATTTATGAAATGTGGGAGCAATCTTGGAAAGGGTCTCAGCGGAGTCCCGCCTGTGTTAGGAAGGCGGAGGAGGGAGGGGAAGGGGGGGCTCTCCAGGCTCGCTTCCAGAGCAGGAATTCGTGACCGATAGCAAAACCAGCTGCTGTGATTTCAGCCTTTCTCCTCTTCTAGATGATAGCAGTGCAGTATTAGCAGCAGGACACATCTTCCTTCCTTGATTGGGGTCAAGCTCCTCTCCAAACTTCCACTGCTGAATTCTCTAATGACTGTTATTTCTTGTCTGACTCTACCGACTCCAAGAGCAGACCCCTCCCTTTCCTTCTCCCTCTTGGAGGAAACCGAGCTGTGCAAGAAGAGCTGCTGTAGTTGTGGAGAAAGGAGTTGGAGAACTGCTTTTTATGAAAGGCAAATTGCTGAGGGGCCTCATAAGGATGTATATCCTATACTACAGGACTGCATATCCTGGACATACAGGACTGGAGAGAAAGCACATGGATTGTGGGGAGGAGAGAGAGATTCCCCCTCCAAATAGAGCCACCTCTTCCTCCAAATAGAGTCCAAAGCTCCCCATTGTCCCCTGAAGTTCCAGGTCCCCCTGCAAGCTCCCCCCCAAAGCCAGGCATCTGCCCTGTCTTGTCCTCCTCTCCTGTCTTCAGATCCATTTTGCCCACGCTGCTGGTCTGGGTTGGCTTTTGGTGGCTGCTTGGGCCGGCTTTTCTGGGCTGTTACTGGGAGAAATGATTTGTAAAGGTGCTATACCTGTAATATTAGGATAAGGATGCTTGGGCTGCTTTTATAAAAGGCATGGGGTGGGGGGGAAGGGTCTGAGGACAGCAAGGGCGGTGCAAGGGCTGAATGTGACTGCGTTGACACCGACCATTCATTGAAACAAGTAGGACTGCACCAGTGATAAATGTAGGTGGACAGCTTTTAGCAGGATCAGGACTGTAAGACTGTCAAAAATGACTCTGGGAAGCACTGCTGTGCATTCTTAGCAATGCCGCTTTGTGCCCAGAAACCTGGCTCCGGCATCTGCCTCAGCTGGCGGGGCACGACTTCTTCAGCAGTGTTTTGTCAGTGTCCAAAGGAAATGGATTTTGCAAAACCAACTAACAATCCTAATGACCAATCTTGCAAAGTAGTCTTAAAATCATTGGCTTAGATTACTCGAGGAATTTCTAAATATTGCTTTTACTACAGATATGTTAATTGTCTTAGTACTGATCTCGTACTGATCTTTGGTAAAGCAATGACCTCTCATTATCCACAGCTGGGCTTCAGTTTTGCACCCCCCAGCACAACACAACATGAACATTAATTCCCTCCATACTCTCTGATTTTCAGCTGGCTTTCTTGGCTTAAACTGAGTAGGAGTGCAATGCGGAGGTGGTGGGGAGGAAGAGAAAACAAACTGTCCCTTTTAGGTTTAAAGGCAGCAAGACTGGGGTCTGATAATAGGCAGTGCTTTGGGAGGAGAGCCTGTGTTCTAGCACAGGCTGCAACAGAGGGTGAATGTGACTGCTTCCCCGCTCCCATGTGGTGGCTTTTCCACCGTCCCCTTCTCCTGTGTGGTTAGGGTAAGCCAGTCAGAAAAAGACGGGTCTGGTTTACTACTAATACCAGGTGTGGTCTCTGCACAGAAATCTCTGTGTTAGAAGTTATGGGTCCAAAAAGATGCATATACAGCCTGTATTTCTCATGATATGTGATTTATGAAATGTGGGAGCAATCTTGGAAAGGGTCTCAGCGGAGTCCCGCCTGTGTTAGGAAGGCGGAGGAGGGAGGGGAAGGGGGGGCTCTCCAGGCTCGCTTCCAGAGCAGGAATTCGTGACCGATAGCAAAACCAGCTGCTGTGATTTCAGCCTTTCTCCTCTTCTAGATGATAGCAGTGCAGTATTAGCAGCAGGACACATCTTCCTTCCTTGATTGGGGTCAAGCTCCTCTCCAAACTTCCACTGCTGAATTCTCTAATGACTGTTATTTCTTGTCTGACTCTACCGACTCCAAGAGCAGACCCCTCCCTTTCCTTCTCCCTCTTGGAGGAAACCGAGCTGTGCAAGAAGAGCTGCTGTAGTTGTGGAGAAAGGAGTTGGAGAACTGCTTTTTATGAAAGGCAAATTGCTGAGGGGCCTCATAAGGATGTATATCCTATACTACAGGACTGCATATCCTGGACATACAGGACTGGAGAGAAAGCACATGGATTGTGGGGAGGAGAGAGAGATTCCCCCTCCAAATAGAGCCACCTCTTCCTCCAAATAGAGTCCAAAGCTCCCCATTGTCCCCTGAAGTTCCAGGTCCCCCTGCAAGCTCCCCCCCAAAGCCAGGCATCTGCCCTGTCTTGTCCTCCTCTCCTGTCTTCAGATCCATTTTGCCCACGCTGCTGGTCTGGGTTGGCTTTTGGTGGCTGCTTGGGCCGGCTTTTCTGGGCTGTTACTGGGAGAAATGATTTGTAAAGGTGCTATACCTGTAATATTAGGATAAGGATGCTTGGGCTGCTTTTATAAAAGGCATGGGGTGGGGGGGAAGGGTCTGAGGACAGCAAGGGCGGTGCGAGGGCTGAATGTGACTGCGTTGACACCGACCATTCATTGAAACAAGTAGGACTGCACCAGTGATAAATGTAGGTGGACAGCTTTTAGCAGGATCAGGACTGTAAGACTGTCAAAAATGACTCTGGGAAGCACTGCTGTGCATTCTTAGCAATGCCGCTTTGTGCCCAGAAACCTGGCTCCGGCATCTGCCTCAGCTGGCGGGGCACGACTTCTTCAGCAGTGTTTTGTCAGTGTCCAAAGGAAATGGATTTTGCAAAACCAACTAACAATCCTAATGACCAATCTTGCAAAGTAGTCTTAAAATCATTGGCTTAGATTACTCGAGGAATTTCTAAATATTGCTTTTACTACAGATATGTTAATTGCGAGGTTGGGGGTGGGAATAGGACAAAGATAATAAAATCAGCTTTTATTAATCCCCAGGGATTTATTTCTGAAAGCAATTACTGTTTGCTGGGTTAATACCATAAGCATGTATTTTGGGACCCCGAGTGCTTTTCTAGAGGAGGTTTTCGTAGTTCTCCTGCGTTTGTACTTTGGGAGCTCATGGGAAGTCACCACGGGCACCTGCTGATGGAGCTGGGTTTTGAACTACATCTTGAGCGCTCGAGTAAAGCGGGGCAACTCTTCCCCGGTAGCGTATAAACTGTGACGCGAGTTGTTCCTTTCTCGTGACCAGACTATATTCAGTGTCCGCACTGCTCACGAAGGTTTAATGAGGCTGCAGCAGAGAGGCACATCAAGTTCTGTGAAGAACAAGCTGCCCGCCGCGCCTTTGCTGCAAAGGCCACCGGACAGGCTTTGGTAAGCAAACAGAGTCACCCTTGTCCTTTCCTGGAGGCAGATTTCCCAAACTGTAGTTTATGGTGAGTAAAGACCTGTATTAATATAAAACTTAAGACTCTAGGGAAGTTGGTAAATTCTTAAGACAAGACGTATGCTGAACATCAGCTGGGAGGTCCCCAAAGCTGGAGCTCTTTGTCTGATATAAAAAGTGACAGAATGTGACACTAGGAATAGGTTGGACAATTATCTCTTCAGACTCTTCTGCAGCTGGATTTCGGGGTAACAGCTGTAGGGAAGCAGAAACCTGGCAGCTTTTGCACTATATAGAGAAAGCTCATTCTGTTCATTAGGGTTCCCTGCGGTTTGCAGGTTTGCTGTTCCCTGCAAATGTATAGCTGATTTACTCCCTGGTCGCCAGGCACAAGGCCAAAGGGCTAAGCCCCGTTGGCGAATCAGAAAAGTGGAGCAAACTGGCAGTGTCTTGAAGTGAGCTTCTATTTTATTATACAAAAAAAAAACCCAAACAAAAAAACAAGTAAACAGTTCCTTTAGGAGAGTGCTGATTTTCTCTCCTCTCCCTCTCCTCTCCCTCTCCTCTCCCTCTCCTCTCCCTCTCCTCTCCCTCTCCTCTCCCTCTCCTCTCCCTCTCCTCTCCCTCTCCTCTCCCTCTCCTCTCCCTCTCCTCTCCCTCTCCTCTCCCTCTCCTCTCCCTCTCCTCTCCCTCTCCTCTCCCTCTCCTCTCCCTCTCCTCTCCCTCTCCTCTCCCTCTCCTCTCCCTCTCCTCTCCCTCTCCTCTCCCTCTCCTCTCCCTCTCCTCTCCCTCTCCTCTCCCTCTCCTCTCCCTCTCCTCTCCCTCTCCTCTCCCTCTCCTCTCCCTCTCCTCTCCCTCTCCTCTCCCTCTCCTCTCCTCATGTTTGAAAATCTTATTTCATTTATTTTGGGCAGGAAAAATGGCTTCCCAGTGGGAGAGGAGTGCACCCTTTCCCTGTTCCTTCCTAGCACTGCTCCAACAGCGATTTGGAGCGTTGTCACCAGGCTCCATAAGCTCCTTGCTAGAGTCGTGTGGATTGTGCATCTTCTTTTACTAGGGCAAGCAACCAGTGACTCAGAGAAAACCCCCAACCTTAATGACTTCTGCGTTACCACTTCAGAAGAGAGTACAAGAAGATGCCAATACAAGCAAACCTAGGCCAGGTAAGGAGTTCATTTAGCCATGTTTATGTTTTTCTTATAACGAACTCTAATGTATTTGAGGTGGAGGGCAGCATTTTTAAAACAGATCCTAGGTTTTGGAATCCAGTTTTCTGATAGAATAATAAAAGCGTGATTTTTTTTTTTTTAATACTTTTTTTTCCTCAAGTCTAGGCCTTGGCATGAAATCCTGAACTCGTTTCTGTACAACACTTGTTAGAAATGAGAAGGGTCAAAAATTTCCAGGTGGATGTTGTTGATATTGCATGGCTTTCCAAATTGTGATCCTGACCCGTTGTGCCGAGTGTATACACAGAGGTTTCCATGTGTTTTCCCAGGAGAGGCTTCTTAGCCTTTTCAATTAAAGGTCCTCAAACAGACATCTCTAGATAGACCTAAAATAGGCAGTCTGGGTGTGTGAGGTTCCTTCTGTCCCATAAAGGACCCCATAACCTTTAATCTTCAATGTTAAGACTTATTCCATCTTCTTTAACTTTTCTTAAGTCCGTTTAGAGGAAGCATCAAGCTTTGTATGTTGTTTGTTCCATATGACTTTCCCCCTGTTGATTCGACCTTAAAATTAACACCACCACATCCCTAAAATAGTTCCCTCTAAGGAGGATGCCAGATAACATGTTTGCTAGCACCCATTGCTGCCAGTAATTGTGACCTGTACTCAGACTATGTTTCAAAGGTGTTTTATAAAGTTATTTTAATGGTTATTTGTAGTATAACCTGTGAATGATAATACACATCACTCTTTGTGTCAGTATCTTTGATCCCTACATTTCTGGGTTTTATACTGAATTGATGTAGGTTATAATTTTTTATGGCCAATAAATTTTTTAAATAATGATCTGCAGAGACCTCTCCAAGAATACAGCAGAAAACCAGAAAATCTTTGGGTGTATCTACTGGAAAAAAAACTTCAGGAGAGTTTGGGTAAGAAATATTTTTTTGTTTTATTTCAACATTATAACATAAAAGGACTTTTTTTTGCTTTTGTGTACATACAGTATCCTGTTGCAGTGTTTGCAGTATGAAGTTCTTTGTATTAACTGAAGTTTGATTGCTTTTGCAATTGATTTTGCACTGGAAACTTTTGCAGAGGTCCTCATGTCCCCAGTATAGGCTGTTGAGAATACTCGTTTTGGCATTAAATGTTCTTTTGGTTTGGAGCAGCTCCATCTCGAGTAGTCAGTGACCGTGTTCTGCCCAAACAGGCATCTTGAGAGGATTTGCTGCTTGATAATGCAAACCTCTCTAGCAGGTCTTGTGCTCTCATGATGTGCTTCTGTGGCCTGAGCGAGGAAGATGCCAGGATCCATTTCAGTAACCATTACGTCAGGATGACTGTGGGTGGGTTCTTCCTTCTCCTCAATGTTTATTTTCCCAGCCCATGATGTTTGCTTCTGCTCTTCAGACCTTGCAGTCAGTGTTGTTCCCATCTTGGGCCATGCAGAGCCGTGTCAGAGCAGCGAGAAGGCCTTCCAGCCCCTGCTTAAGGTGGTTGTGGTGCTGTTGTGCAAGGGGATGGCTCAGATCAGCATCTTGCACCCCTGTGAGATGCATATGACTGCACAATGTGAGATCCTAGCAGTGAATGTGGCCAAGACAGATTCCATGTAGCTGGCAAGATATTTTGAGCCTAGGACATGAGCTTGTAAGTCAGCCTGGAGCATGGGATGAACAGTAAAGTACACAGAACACTCTGTTGCACAGACTCACATTCAAAGTCTTTGTAGGGTTCTTCCATGTGGAGTTTTGCTGTCCTTGATTGCTGCTGGTCAGTGGCAAAGTACCTTCAGCTGTGGGGAAGTCTGCAATGGGCATGGAAGGAGTGTTCAGTCCACAGCACCATCATCAACTCTACCTACCTCCTTGACTTTGCCAGCTACAGGAAAAACTGTTGACAGTACCTAGTGGTCTCATCTGGTGTTCTCCACTCCCCAAATTACCTGTGACTATGTCAACAGTGTAGTAACTCTTATGGTTGTTACGCAGGACCTTGCAGACCACCAACAGGGACTTACTGCTACCATCATCATTCTCAAGGTTTAGCTACTGAACTGTGAAACTCTGGGCTTGACAGGCTTGGGGAGGAGACAGATCTCTCCCTCTGGAGACAGGCA